GAAGGAAGGAAGGAAGGAAGGAAGGAAGGAAGGAAGGAAGGAAGGAAAGTAGGTGGCTGGGGAATTCTGGATGTTGAAGTCAACCCTTCTTGAAGTTGCCAAGTTGTGTCTTGTGAAAGATACAACTGGATGGCTACCGAATCCATTCAAGGGCTGAACCAGGCTGACAGCACACCGGAGAGCCTTGCATTTGGCATTGGCATCAAACAGCTCTCCCAAAAACGGTGAAGCTGCTCTGATGGCAGAATCAGGAACCTACCCGCAATTTCAGGGTGGGATTGGAGATTTACGCCGCCCTCCAGTTTCCCTGAGAGAATGCTGGTGCTGCTGGTGCTGCTGGTTCCTCCCCCATCTCCACTTTCTAACATCCTGATCCGCTCGCGGAGACGTTCGCATTCCTCCCGCAGGTTCCCCATCTGCTCTTGACGCTGCTGCTTGGCCAGGCTGGCTGGGTTCATGGAGAAATGGAGTATTTTGGTTCGACCCGGATCGTGATAACCCTGCAAGGCACAGAAGCGGGGAGACAGCACCGTGAGAATGGATAAGAAGTAAAGAACTGGAAACCGAGCCAGCTTTTCTTGAACCGTGCCGGTGGGAAAGAGCCAGCTGCAAATGAAGAGGAACGGTAATTACACCAGCCCGTCCGGGAGATAGTTACTTTACACCTCGTTTACTCCATGCCGTGTCATCTCCGGGTTCAGAGGACGGCAGTGAGGAGGAGAAGACTGAGAGCTAAGTAAGTCTCACCAGGAGAAACAAGAGAAGACAAGTTTGGCCTTGAGAGAGGAAAAAATATCAATGAGGATCAAGTCAAGTAGCATGGAGAAGGATCACACAAACGTCAAGAGCACGTCTCTATCGTTCCTAAACGCAGGACACGGTGTTACGTTCTCACGTTTCAGGAGACCGAATCCCTGCTGGATGTTGACTCCTAAAACCAACTCAAGTTCAATCGATTATCCGGGGAGATGGTGAAATCCCTTCGACTGAACATACTCAGGAAGAATCCCATACCAGCCTTCCCCCCACCACCACCCTTGAACTTGAAGATGTTGAGGGCTTCAACTGCCAGAATTTTGAAATTCTGAGAGCTGAAGTCCATACAACCTCAAGTTGCCAAGGTTGAGCAACCGTAGACTAGGTAGCCTTCTGTTGGGAGCAGGGGTGAAATGCAGCAGGTTCTGGAGAACCCGTAGCAGAAATTTTGAGCAGTTCGGAGAACCGGCAAATACCACCTCTGGCTGGCCCCCGTGTGGGGTGGGAATGGAGATTTTGCAATATCCTTCCCCCAGGAGTGGGGAGGGAATGGGTTTTTGTAGTATCCTTCCCCTGGAGTGGGGTGGGAATGGAGGTTTTGCAATATCCTTCCCCAGGAGTGGGGAGGGAATGGGGATTTTGCAGTATCTTTCCCTGCCACATCCACTAAGCCACACCACGCCCACCAAGCCATGCCCACAGAACCGGTAGTAAAAAAAAAAAATTGAATTCCACCACTGGTTGGGAGATACCTTGATCTGCATTTCTCCACCAAACAGGAGGTGGTTGGATCTCCTGTTGACCTCATTGGCTTTTTCAGCTCCAGGATTAAAAACACATCGACATGCAAGTAATTTAAAAGATGGTCTTCGGTCCAAAGGCTTCCAGGAGTTACTGACATCCAATATCGCATGGAAAAAGACACATCCAACAAGCCATCCACTCCAGGACCCACCTGAGAATTGGCAGCTGATCATGCAGGGTTCTGTAGGTGTAAATCAAGGTCTGTCAACCTGAGTTCCTTTGAGATGTGTGGACTTCAACTCCCAGAATTCTGGGAATTGAAGTCCACACATCTCAAAGGAGCTGAAGTTGAGAAAAACCGGGCCTAATCAACTAAATACTCAAGAAGTATATGATGGGGATAATCCTACGGCTGGAAGGGACCTCGGAGGTCTTCTAGTCCAACCCCTTGCTCAATCATTGAATCGTAGAGCTGGAAGGGACTTTGGAGGTCTTCTAGTCCAACCCCTTGCTTGATCATAGAGTCATAGGGCTGGAAGGGACCTCGGAGGACTTCCAGTCCAACCCCTTGCTCAATCATTGAATTGTAGTGCTGGAAGAAACCTCGGAGGTCTTCCAGTCCAACCCCTTGCTTGATCATAGAGTCATAGGACTGGAAGGGACCTCGGAGGACTTCCAGTCCAACCCCTTGCTCAATCATTGAATCGTAGGGCTGGAAGGGTCCTCGGAGGTCTTCTAGTCTGGCCCCCTGCAACCTCTGTGTTGCTCAGCAGATGGCCAATGAATCGGGAAAACCATCTCGCAGCAAACAACACGAGCCTCCAAAGGAGAAAAACAGAGCGAGAGAAAAGATCCAAAGAACTGGAATTAAGAAACACAACAGCCTGCGGGGGATTTTCCCCCTCCTTTGATGAAGGCCACCCTGAGCGTCTCGAACTTCAAACCAAGCAACAAGAGAGAAAACAGGATCCGTCTCAAATTTACACCTCTGTTGGGCTCTACCCACCAGCCACATTAAACCAGCTGCAAAAAAAAAAATAATAATAATAAAAAATACACACATTGATGGCTGTTTATATTTTTGGGGTCCTTTCTTCGGGGAAACAAGCCAGGTCCCAAACCCAGATAAACACCAATGCTCCATCACCTTTCTAGCCAGCAATGGAAGCTTAGCTAACAAGCTAAGTTAGCTTGTGCTAACAAGCAAATGGCAGACCACGAAAAGAATCTTTTTCGCTCTACCTTTCCCGAGCTGGCACGGCGCAGCCCCAGAAGCATGGAGATTAAAGCTCTCCCAGCTGCGTCCAGTGCCCTCTAGTGTCCCATCTCGAGCCCCTCATCCTGGTTCGACAAGAGAACGTTGGCTATGGAAAAGACGGTTAGCAGCAAAGGGTTATCCTGGCTTGCCTGCCTGGCTGGCATTATTTTTTTAAAAAAAACAAATTCTTTGAAGCTATCCACAAGAGGCAAGGGTTAAAGTCTTGCAGCCGCTGTCCTACAACTATGAAAAAAAAAAAAAGGAGGTGGGAGAAGTGTGGGGGGGGGTCCTTGTCTACAAAAAGACCACTAAGAAGGATGGGGATGTTTGGCTCCGGCTCTGTCGTGCAAGAGAGACAGTTTGCATTTAAGGATGTGTTAATGCAGCGCCGGGGGAACTGAGGGGTTCAGGAGAGCAGCTACAGCCTGTCTCAAGATGCAGATCAAAAGCGAGGGGAAAAAAATATATATAACAGGCACAAGATTCTCAACCACATTTCTTTCTTTCTTCCCCCCCCCTCTCTCTCTTCTCAATGTTGTGCCTAACAAGCAGGAAACCGAAGTGCTTTTTTTTTTTAGAGAGAGAGAGAGAGCTACAAGACAGGTATCTGATTTTTATTAAATCTGTTTTATTAGGTGCATTAGGATTTCTTGCTGTCTTCATCCCCAGGCAGACCCCTAGTGGCAAAATCCTCCTGCTTCGTTTCTTCTTCTTCTTCTTTTAAGGACGGCAATTAAAAATAAAGGGAAACTACAGATCTGGATTTAGAAAACTGACTGTCAGGTTTCGATGTCATCTCAAATAAATTGCACTCCCAAACAATTAATCTTTGCTGAAATATTCCATTTATTGAGGACGACAGATCTGGCCCCGACTTCGTCGTGGCCGATACTAACCCTCTGACCCCCCCCAAACCCTTCCCTTTCCGTTCCCCAATTCTCATCTTCTCATTGGCCATCTTCCAAGTCAGTCTCCCCAGCTTCTGACCTCACCCACAGGAATGTTCCCCCCTCCCATCCCATCTCCTAGGGGATATTATCTACAGAGAAAATAAGTAGGTGAAAAGTCAAGCCTCGTCTTTTTATGGCAGCATCAGAATGCTGACACTGACTTTAAATCGACAGATTTGGATTTAGGAAACACAGATCGATTTTGGAAATGTAGTTAGATTTACGGTAGATAGAGAGGACTGCCTCTCCCCCCCCCACATCGTGTCCACCCTGGATGGTTCTCTGGTGGGACCACAGAAAAAGTTCTTCTCGGTGGTGGCCCCCTTCTCTGTGGAAGACCATTCCCCTTGAGATACAATCGGCCTTCGCCTTGAACTTTTCTGAAAGGCCCTGAAGACATGGTATCTTGCAGACCTGGGAACCACGAATGGAGGTGGAGACAATCAAGTGGCTGCTTTCATTGCGTTGATGCTACTGTGGAGATCTTGGGGTTGGGTGGGTTGCAGGTTTAGCTGTTGTGGATTTTAATGTTCTAAGGAGTTGTGTCCCCTTAGGGCATCCTACCTGTCTTGCATTAATTCGACTCCAGGGAGAATGGAGAAGAAGGAGGCTCTCCAAAATATGAAGAAGGATCTCCAAAATCTTGTGGATGAGTGTGGGTGGGCGAGGGAGAGAGAGAGAGAGAAAGAGAGAGGCAGACAAGATATTGAGACTCCAAGAAGGGGGCAGAGAAAAGCAATGAAGATGACTAGGAGACGAGAGGCTGAAACATACAATGAATGCTTGTATGAACTGGGTATGCCTAGTCTAAGGAAAAGAAGGACCAGGGGTGACATGATAGCAGTTGTCCAATATTTGTGGGGCTGCCACAAAGAAGAGGGGGACCAACCTCTTCTCCAAAGCACCTGAAGGCAGGTCAAGAAACAATGGATGGAAACTCATCAAGGAGAGGAGCAACCTAGAACTAAGAAGAAATTTCCTAACAGTGACAACAATCAACCAGTGGAACAGAAATTGCCTCCAGAAGTTGTGGGTGCTTCATCACTGGAGGTTTTTAAGATGAACTGAACACCTGCTTGTCCGGAATATTATAGGATCTTCTTCTGCTTTAGCAGGAGGTTGGACTAGAAGACCTCCAAAATCCCTTCCAACACTTTTACCCTGTTATTCTGATCTGGAACGGATCATGAGATTATCTAGATGGAGCCAGCCTTTGGTCCTCAAGGGGCCAGGCACTGGAAGGACTCTATTTTTCTTTTTTTTACCCATAATGCGGCGTTTCCAAGGGAAAAATAAACCTCTCCCCGAAAACACAGTTGAAAGGAATGGCTGCGCCTTCCTTCTGCTTCCTTGCTCAAGGCTTGTTAGAGTGATTAGAGGAAAAACCTTACATGAAACGCTTCCAAACAGTTCCCAAGGGCCCCGGCGTACGACAAGCAAGCAGCGCTGACCAAACCCCCAATTCCCATCATTAGGGAGGACAGACAGCCCAGGGGACACCCCCCCCCCAAAAAGCCCTCTGAACGACAAGACGTGCTGTCATGCCGAAACGGCTTCCCACGACAACCCGGAGAAAACACGGAGACCCACCCACGCCTGGCCTGACAAAGCGGCCCACTTTGATCGTTTTTCTTGCAAATTTCCTCCCTGCAATCTTTAGGAAACGCATCTTTATACGAAACATGCGTCAAGATATGCCAAGCCATAAGAGATGTGCTTTCCCTAAGGAGGCACTTGTGGGGAAGGGTCTGGGGGGGGGCGTAGGGAGGAGAGCGATGCGGAGAAAACAGGC